GAACAAACCAATTTCAGTAACATACAGAACTCTGCTATGTTTCAGTGACCTAGTCCATGGCCTTCAAGTTAGAAAGCAAAAACATCTGTAGGATGAGACCATCTCTCTAAATGACTAGGACATTGCTTAAAATCTTTCTAACTGCATTTGCATGCCATGGGACCCCCTCACTACAGCAGAGATGGGGCTGGTAGCACTGGCTACTTAATGGCCCAGTATCTGTGGTGCAAGTGCTCTAAACAGTGCCCTGGTGCATACCTCCAGTCTTGGTGCAACCAGGACGAAAACTACTTCTTCCCAGTATGTGCTGTAGAAGTCCAAATACAGATGCAAATCTGCATCTAAAATAATTGCTTCGGTTCACTAATTAACTAATATATTTTCCTTAGGATAGCTGAGCATGTTAGGAATCAGTTCTGGTGACAAAGCATCTGCAAAGTTTGAGCTGTCCATGAAGGCTTGACACAGTTAATACCATAGCAGAAACCTACATAATTCCTCAAGTCCATGCCCACAGCTGAGTAATTTGGGGGGTTCCCCACAGCAGAAAATAGTTGCAATTTTAAGGACCTGTCTCAAGTTCAAACTATAGCAAAAGGAGTTCAGAGGAAATCACTGAAATTAACAGTGGCAGATCCGTGCAATCAGGTGTTGGTCGGCCTCAGGTATGAATAGAAATTTAGTTGGGAATTGCTTGCACACTAGCATCACTGTAAGTGATAAACTGTGATTTAAATTAGCCCTGGTGCCGAAGGAATGAAAAGTGGGTTGCTTCTGTGCTTAAGGTATCTCCAAGATGATCCAGTGGAATTATAGACAAGTCTGATGTTTTATGCTGCAGATTTCTTGAGTTATCAGAAGTTGGTAGACAAACATACAATACATGTTTCAGAGAAGAGCTGATGTGAGCAGAGAAAATTTGTGTCTTGCACACATAATACAGTTTTTTGAAGAGACCGGGTGCATAAAAGGGAGCCAGGCACTCTAGAATAAGAAGAAATTTTCTCTTCTGATTGAATAACTGATTATAGATAGGAAAGAAAAGATACAAATAACTGGGCAGTTTTTGCAGTGAAGGGGGATTACCAATTACTGCCTTCAGAACCTGTGCAGTTCAATATGCTCATGAAAGAGCTGGAAAGGGGAGACAGACGTCAGTGATGTGCCAAAATCTGCTGATGGTATGGAGTTATTCCAGGTAAGCAAAAGTAGACATGACTACAAAAAGTTGCAGAAGAATCTGACAATATCAAATGCCTGGGCAATAAGATAGCTGCTGAAATTCCATGTCGATAAAAGTCAAGTGCAGACACAATGATAGGGTTTAAATTAGCCCGCGAAAGAGGTTCTGGCATCATTGCAGATGGTTCTTTGAAAATGTCTGCTCAGTGCTCAGCAGAGGTCAGAAAGGCAAGTGGAATGCTAAGAATTGCTGGGAAAGAGATGGAGAATAAAAGAGAAAATGTAAGTACACCACTGAATAAATCCATGGAGATCTTGAATAGAGTGCAATTCCAGTCACCCCATCTCAATGCAGAAGTAAAATAGAAGTAGAAAAGATGCAGAAAAGGGCGAGAGGGCTGACCTGAGTTGTGAAGCAGGGAGTCTAAGCCTGTGAAGCTTGCTGAAGAAATGAATGAGCAGGATTAAAGCAGAGGTGTAAAGTCAAGATGGCTATGGAGTGAATAAGGCATTTTTTTTTGCAGCAGAGGACATAATGACATGGTCAGGCAAGAAGTTTAAAGCAAATAACAGGAAAAAAACTTTCACAGGCTATAACAAATTAGGAAACTCATCAAACACGATGTATTTTACATGCTGAAAGTAGAGGGTTCTTGAAATAGTAGTAGTACTGAGGTTCTCAGTGCTGGCTTCAACATGTTCCAGCTCTAGCACCTATCCCAACGTACGAAGCTGGTCATGTCCCCTCTACACCTGGATGAGATTTGGGTTCTGGTTTGGTTTGGCCTCTCACCAGTAGAACCTTCCAGGTGTTTCGGGCTGGATGATGGTCAGTTAAAGGATCATTGTGATCTTCTAGTATGATCTCTCTTATGACAAAAGCCACACAAGTCCCTTGAATGAATTAATGAATTATTTCTCTCAAATGCAGTGCAATATTGGGGGGGAAAAGGTCCAATAGTGCCTAAAAAATGTCCTGCACTGAATAAAAGGTCCCAAGAGTTAATTACACTCTCTCCTGTTTGGTTCTTCCTATTTGGGTATGCAAAGGTTGCAGTAGCCTTTTTGGCTGCAGCATGGTAACGAGAGGTCACATTGGATGGCTTGGGAATTTTGAGACAGTAAGGACTAAAAAGTCTGCTAGAGAGGATTATCATCAAATTATATCTTTCTCAGTGGCAGGAAATCAATCAAGAATAGGCTGATTTACACCTGCCGGAGCCAGCACATCATGAACTTCATCATCTTTCCCAGTGATGTTTTTATCTTTGCATCGACGCAGTCAGTGCGAGAAAAATATTTTCCCATTTAAAATCAAAACATTCAAGGTAGTGTTTGGCAGAGTGTCGGAGCCTGGGGTTCCCGCTGCTTCTGACAACAGTGCTGGTATCTTTTGCTGATGACCAAAGTGCAATATAATGAGTTGTCTTGGGCTTCTGCTTTATTCAGCGTGCAGTCTTTTAATAGACTGTTAGTAATTCTGAGAGGGATAAATGATGTTTATGCCCTCTTGTGGTATGTTATTGAACAGAATGGATTTTCCAACTGACAAAATTAGGCCAGTGATGGAAAGTCCCAGGTAAAAATCTGTAACAAATACTGTTTTGCACAGTAGAAAAATACCTATCCCTCCAGCAGGATCCTCATGACTCAGTTAAGGTGGGGGGAAGCCAATTTTACATACATTTACAGCCGCAAGTACATGAGTAATGCCCATGATGACAGAGTTTGTGCCATCTTTCTGGAGTGAAGATAATTTTAAAAGTGCTTTTCTTTGCTAGGAAGTTTAGAAAGTAAGAGAAATGCTGCTTTCTAAAAGCAGTTGTGTTGACACTTTGTGTTAGTTGTTGCCAATGAGTTGTGATATATACACATACATATATTCACATTTTTTATCTTCTTTGCTCACACATCCGATGGGTAAATAATCTGATTACCTTGGGAAAAAGCCTGTCCCAAAGATAAAATACATTGTTTGGTAATTTTACATGGGGAAATAAGTCCAGATTCCTGTGAAATTTGGCTTGTTACGCTGTTGTGTTCACATACAGTGAATTAACTAGTCATCATCTTCCTAACCTGAGATGAGAATTTAGGGGGTCTCCAGACAGGTCAGTCACGAATTTTCTGCCAATCTCATTACTCCATTCCTGACTGAAAACTGAATGCAGCAAAATGTTACCTACAGGCAGTGAAATTACCAGAATAAATTAGACTAATGCTCTACAAAGTCCATCAGCTAGTGTCAGACTCTGACCAGTACTTAGCTGTGCTAAGGTAGGACCTAGCAAACTCTGTTGTAGGAAATTTGAAGACTTTTTGGTCCCAAATAATCACCTATTATTTAAGTGTTAGATAATCCTTTGAGGAAGCATTGTTTCTGTTACATGTCATCTTTCTTTCTGGCCAGACACCAAAAAGTAGAAGACTATTGTAAAGATGAAGGGAATGATTTCCTTTCCACACCCATGATGATGCAGAAACTGCAACAGTGGGTTTAAATGACAGTAGTGGACTTAATTGGGCTGGGCTTCAGGAGAAACTCTCTACAGGATAGTAAATATTGGAATGGACTCCTCAAGGACACAGGAGGATCTTCATCTCCAAAGATCTTTCAGAAACAGTTAAATAAATAGTTACTGCGAGTAAGGCAGATACCAGTTGTATCATGGTGAAAGAAGTTGGACTTGATGTCTTACAGTAGATCTACCAGCTCCACTTTTGTGATTCTGTGTTATGATTTCTTTTTATTGGATTTATTTATTAGTATGATGAGAAAACACATATTTATCTGGTAATCATAAAGCTGATCCTTTGTTCTTCCTGTTGGTCTTGCTGTCGAGTCTGGCTGATAGCCAGGCAATTCTGTCTATATCCAGTGCTTTACAAGTATACTTTTCAACAGTAATCTGACATCAGTTACAGTGTTTATTGGGTTATTGTGGACTTCAGTGAGCACAAGTTATGTCCCCAGTGAGATGAGAATTGGCTTCAAAATGTTGGTGCTTACCAGTTTCCGTAGAAAAGGACAATTCAATAGGAAAAACTTCATGGCAATTCATGTTAAAACGAAATTCCCTCTGTCAGAAATTTTTCAGGAGTTTCAAATTCAGTTAGGGAATATCAGAAAGAAATTAGAGTCTAAAATCCTCACCCAATCTTTTCAAAGTGATTATTGCTGGAGGTCCACATATTAGCAAATCTTCCAGAAATGAGCCATTATTTGCTTTAAAAATACCTGTCTGGTCATGATGGAACTGTTCTTTTTGAAGAATGGGTTAGTAGAAACTCCATGAAAAGAGCCCAGATGCTCTTATTTCTCAGTGACATCAGTGAGGCCAAAATTTCACCCGGAGATTCTTCTGGCATAAGTATATTTGGGGCGGATAGCACATTTCAAAGCTAAGGCACCTGCCAGGTGAAGTTCTTGGACATTGCAAAGCCACTGGCTAGGGCTGATCAAAGTGTGCTCTGCTGCTTTTCATATTTGTTTTCCACTTTTGTTGATGGCACCACATCCCTGCCTGGCGTGGTTCATAAAGAGGAGAGAACAAATGTGTGGCCATAGCAAATTAAACAAATGAGCCATTAAAGCAGGACGGTGCTCTACCTTTTCTCACCAATGCCTGCTTTGGTGCCCTCAATGTCTCCTAGCAGAATAACATGAGAGCAAGGATAAAGGGCTTTCAGAGATGTGCTGCAAATGTGGTCCAAGTGCTGAGAGGTATCTGTGGCTCCTGCTGAGAGAAAACCTAACATCGTTCATCAGCAGGGGAGACAGCAAACCACTAATGGCTTTCCATCATGTTTCTTGACAGGTATTGACAGGGGGCGGTTTTGGTTCCATCACAACAGAAATCCGGGAGGCTCCAGAGTTTTATTACGCCGAAGATTACCATCAGCAGTACCTCAGCAAGAACCCTGGTGGATACTGTGGCCTCGGGGGAACAGGGCTTTCCTGCCCGACTGGGATCAAGAAATAGCCTGTGCTTACTCTACTGCCTCCGTTTTGCTTTAGGGAGTCTGAAAAGACCAGCAACTCTGATAGATAGAGCACGCCTGCATCATTAGTGCATAAAGATTTGGGAACCTGTTGAGGTGGCTTTCTGTAATCTGAGCAGTTTCTCATTCACCAACATTAAAAGCCAAAGCAGAGGCAGAAATTGAGCTTGTTGGCAAATGCAGCTTCTTGCTTTGTGCAGCTCATGGGATTTCCTTGCAATGTTGTAATCTGGAATGAAACTTCTAAAAGTTTGGCTCAAAATGCTGTTAAAAGGATGAATTGGGATGTGGTGGCACCTGCTAAATGTTTTGCTTAGCTAATGCCTTCAGGTATGTTTATTTTCTTGGGTTAATAAATTTGCTCATGTTATGAGAGCTTTGACATGGAGACATGGCTGGGCTCATCTTAACTATCACAACTGTGTAATTTGATGTCTTTGACAATGGTGTATTTATAAGAGCAGTGATTCTCTCACAATTAAATTTTCACAACAATATGTAATATCACCCATAGTGCCTATTTTCTGAAATAATTTAGTAAGAAAAAGTAAAAATTGGAATGCAGTTCCAAAAATCGTATAAACACAAAAATAAATCTTTTTTTTGTTTGTTTTCTGCACTACAATAAATTACAAAAAAAGAAAATAAAAATGTTGTCTGTGATCTTTCCATGACTCTGAGTATATATCTGGGTAGACCTAAAAGTATCAAATATTATAAAAGGCTGCAGCCTGCTAGTCAAACACCAGGGCTTTTAAATCTCTGTAACTGTGCATGACAGTTCAGAGAAGTAGAATTGGTATTGGCCACACTGTAACATAATTATTCCTGTGATTAATTGTTTGTACTTCAGTAGCTTGCAGAGCCCCCACCAAGACCAGAGCTCATTATGGCAATTGCTGTGCAAACATAATGTCAGGCAGTCTCTGCTCCAGTGCATGGATAGTCAAAATAGCAGGACAGCCAGAAAGAGGGAAAATAAATTATCGTTTTATTCATGGGATTCCCAGAGTGGAGACTAAAAGCTACAGCCAAAGGATGTAGGGAATACAGGAGTTAATCTGTATTGATATGGGATCCAGTGGGTTATATGTATCCCATGGCAGGGGAGTTGAATCTAGGTGATCTTTAAGGTCCCTTGCAACCCAAACCATTCTATGGTTCTATGATGTACATGCTATGGAGTATCCTAGGACAAATAGCTTCAGTAGGAAGGATGCGGATGGGTTTGTCCTACCCATCCAATATGCTGCAGTGACAGATGTGGGCTTGAGCTTCTCACGTGTTTTCTGTTCTGGAGACAAAGTTTAAAGAACATATGTGTCCTCTTGCAGATGTGCTTTCTTCAGGGAAAGCCTATAAGAGCCTGCCTTGGTATGTCAGTTCTGGGCAGCAAAGCACATAAAGCCATTTCTGAGGACTAGAGGTGGGGACCCAGAGACATAAATCCTTTCTTCTTTTTTCGTTAGCTCTCCATGACACTCCTCTCCACATCTTGGTTTGATGTTTTGTGCTCACCAGCTCGTGTTTTAGGCTCAGAAAGGCCCAAACCATCTCCCTGAACATCTCCTGCAACTATGCAGCAGATCAGCTCTTGTTCCAAGCTTGGAGCAATTGAAAACGTGCATCAGATAATCAGTCTTCAGGCATGTAAATTCACTGCTGAAGTCCTGCGTGCTCTATCAAAAAACAAGCAGTAAGTCCGTGCCGGAGAAATTAGCTCCCCATCCTCCCTTGCTCCTCAGCTGATGCTGAGTTCATTCCAGTCTCAAAAGACAGAGAAAACCTGTCCTTTTAGTAGATCTATAGCTGGAGCAAGCTTGAGAGGAGCTACAGCTGGCAGGATTGCCATGTTAGACTCTTTCTGGAGATACCCCAAAATGGGCCCTCATCACACTCAGGATTTCCAGTTGCTGTGGTAACTGATTGCCTGTCCTTAACCTGTTGTGACACTGAAGTGTACTAGGACTCACTGTCAAGGAAACCAGTACTTCTGTCTCATTTCCTAGGCATGAGGTGACATGAAAGAAAAGAAAGGAGGAACATAAAGTCTTCCTTTCACCCTCTGCATTTTTAACCTCTGCATAATTCAGACTTCAGTGGGATAACTCCTGATTTGCTCCAATGTACAGGCAAAACATTTCATATTCTGAATAATTTGGGTGATCATAAAATGTATCTTGGTTCCCTTCTGTCCTTTCCCCTCCCTCCCCTCCTGCTTGACACTATAGTTACTGTTTTGAAACAAGCTGGGAAGTCTTTAGAGAAAGCATCATTCTGTCCTTAATATGGCCGGGCTCAAGTCTGAGCCTGGCTGAGGGTTTGGTTTTTTCATTTGCCTTCATGGATATAGTGTGTTGGTTTAGAAATCCACATAGATGGGCCCATTGTTGCTGAAATAGGCCACACCAGAATATTATGCCACCGCAGAATCAATCATGGAGTTACTGTAGGGTAGAGATTTTGCCTTGATCCCTTGGAGTTGCTGCTGAAGGTACAGCAATCCTATCAGCGATACTATGAGTAAAGTTGAAATGCTTAATGATTCAACCTCATGGATTAGTTTTTTTAAGCTGGATTTGGTTTTGTAAGCCATCCTTGCCTCCAGGGAAGAAGGGAGTGACTGCCATAACATCTTTGATACACTTTTGACTTAGCACTGTTTGAAATTTACCCTACCACGGAGCTGTATCTTTCTTCTGAGAACATAGACGTGGTCTAAATGAAGAAGGGAAAATTAATTCAGATTTTCGTAGGCTTCAGCACTTCTCAGAGTCGAAGGTGAAAGCTGATGCAGGACCAGCATCTAAGGTCTTCAGAGAGAAGAACATGGTTCAAGGTCCGAAAGCTACTACAAGCACCCAACTCATGAAGTCCACTATCATGATACTGTGTGAAAGTCAGTCCAGGATACAGACAGGAATTTCACTGCTGCTCTATGCCTATCATACCTAAAGCAAATCCCAAGTCTCTTGGAAATCACTAAGCTTTCCCTCACCACCTGAGGAAGGACAGTATCCAACAGTGGTGTCAACAGCCACAAACGGATTGTGTGATGTCACATCCTGGTTGCCCCAGCAGAGAGGTGTGTTGCTTCTGCTGAGAACATGGAATGGAGAAGATGTCCATTGGTGCAGAAGCATCACTGCTCTGATTGCTGTCGAGTGCTGGTCCAAGACTGGGATCGCAATGCTGCTCTTTACCCTCCTTTGTCTAACTTTTCTGATCAGCAGCGTCAGTGCAGGTTTTTCTGAAATCTTTATGTTCAGAAATGACGAGGAGAGCAGAACTGCTAGTTGTCCTACAGGATATACACATATTGCTGTATCAGACAGGCCTGGGCTTATTCCTTATACTTGATGGCATACATGTGTGGCTTTTACTACAGCCTGATGCTGAACTTCTCCACTCATACTCCCTAAACAAGAATTTTATCCAGCCTGCCAATGGGAAACCATCTGTGGCCATGCTAGTCCCAAAGTGCCTGGGCATAGCTTGGCAGAATGCAGGTTTGGGGAGGCTACAGTGATGCCAAGGCTTTGGATAAACTAGCATGGACAATTACAGGCTAATGCTATAGCTGATGTTCTGTTCTCTAGTTTTGTAGCACAGGCAGTGGCACTGCTGTACATGAGCAATATGTCTCATTTTGTACCCAGAATGTGGCCTCCGACCATCTTACGAGTCCTTTCAGGGGACTGGCAAGAGGTTCACGACAGGGAGATACGCCACGGCTGGGGAGTTCCCGTGGCACGTGAGCATCCAGAGCAACGGGAGACATGTCTGTGGAGGCACCATCATCAGCGCATTGTGGATTTTAACTGCGGCTCATTGCTTTGGAGAAGAGATGTGAGTACTCAAGGGAAGTGAAGACAGCCCAGGCACAACAGGTTGATAACGTTCCTCCTTGTGGGAGTAGGATATGAATGTCCTTGGGGTTAAGTGCAAGATACATGTGACTGAGCCAGAAAGAGAGTCCTGAAAACAGGAATTGCCTCCTTTGGGCAAAACAGGCTCATTTTTAATCAAAGGTAGAGGTACAACAGAAACATGCATAAATCTGCATAACCAGGAGATGCAGAAGGGAATATTCTGAAGGATGGTCTAAGCAGCCTTGTATAAATGCCTCTGATGCTGTTCTGATGGCCCCAAGCATTTTCTATTCTTAGGTTGCCCAGAGAAGCTGTGGCTGCCCCATCCCCGGCAGTGTTCAAGGCCAGGCTGGATGGGGCTTGGAGCAGCCTGGTTTCATGGAAGGTGTCCCTGCCTGTGGCAGGGGGTTGGAACTGATTGATCTTTAAGGTCCCTTCCAACCCAAACCAGCCTGTGATTCTATGATTCTGTATGCCTACACATGTTGTGGTACCTTATAAAAAGACATGTATTCCATTCCAGCTTATTCTAACCCCCAAATTACCTTTGCTATCATATAGCAAACACCTTTACATTATGAAAAGTCTTTTAAAGCAGTAGTTGCTGGATAAATCAACCCCATGCACTGCCCAGGGTCAGAGTCCAGCCCTCTGTAAGCCCCCTCCAAAATCTGGCAGGTCTGAGAGCAGAGACTACTCAATCTGGAGCCACCAACCCAGGGCACCAGAAACCCAGAAGATTTGGCCCAAGGAAGTGGGTTCATTAGAAAGTGGGTTATTTATAACTTGGTTGCACCTCTCTTCACAGCTTTGGGAAGAAGTGAAGGCAGATTTCTGCAATATTTATAGCTAACCTGCCTCTGCAATTTGCTGAGCACCATCCTACCCTGCTCAGGAGACACCAACCTTTGTAACACAAAGCCTATATGTTTGCTTATGTCTACACTGCTTCTTTTTTCTTCATAAGGCCACCAGACCTCACTGTTTTAGTGGGGGGAACTGACCTCAGTGTCCCGCTGGAAGAACATAAGCCAGACAGCTTGATCCTCCATGAAAAATTTGACAGAATGACCATGCAGAATGATATTGCTCTGATCCTGCTCAGCTCTCCCATTGAGTTTAGCAATGCGAAAATACCTGTCTGCTTGCCCTACATGCATGACATCAATACGTGGCAACACTGCTGGATTGCGGGGTGGGGAACCACAAGTGCAGGTGAGATGCTGTCAGGAGATCTATTTGCTAATCATGTATCCGTTTAAAGTAGATGTTCTTTCCCAGGAAGGAACTCTCACGCTAACTTCCACTCCCTACCTCCCTGGTAAACACATCCAGACCCTTGCAGCCTCTGCACATCCACCAGTTCTCTGTTCAGTGCAAGAATCAGTCATGAACTGATCCCCAGAGCAAAGTCCCTGGTACCCTGAGCATGTATATTCAAGCTGAAACCTTAGAGCCATCTTTGCTCTGCAGAAACACAAACTTCCTTTGGATACAAGCTCCACCCTGGTGGGCAAGTTAGGCTGGCTCTACAGTGGTCTGGAATGAGGGAAATGAGGGTCTAGGGTTGTCTGGCTTAATGCCTTCCTGAACCATATTGATTCAATGGTACTGGCCACCCGTCCTCTTCACTCATTCAGAAGAGCAGATTGCTGATGCTAATCGTTTAAGCATTAAAGAAAGTAGCTCCAGCACTGATTGTAACCCAAAATGTCCATCCTGAACAAATGTCACTAAATGCCTAATGAGCGATTTCATTATTGGAAAGAGTTAATCAGGACAGAGTGGGCAGAGTGGTGCCTAGAGGCTTTGACAGTCCTTAGGATGTACTATGTGAGTGTCCTATTTAATCCTTGCTATTTTGCTCAAAAGGGTTACTGCCTCCTCTCTGAAACTTTGCATTTTCCTTCTTAGGCTTCATTTGCCTCGCATGACTGTAATACATAGCACAACACAGTGTTATAGTTGTGAAACTCTCCCATTTCACCAAGGTAACATGCTCTTAGAAACAGAAAAGCAGGGGGCTGCTGCAGAGTCACTCTGCAGCTTGGCAGGATTCCTCTTTAGCTAGGCTCTTTGCAAAACGCATGCCATGGCTCTAGAGATCAGTCTCATGCTGCTGTGTGGGCACAGTCAACGTGGCTCCTGTTATCCAAATTGCACCCTGTATGAGGTCAATACACTCAGCCCTGGCACACACCCCTTCTCTTTGGGAGATATTTCAGAAGAAACCAGCAGAAGCTAGGTTTGGTGAGAGGGATGTGTGATGGTGTGATATGGGCCATACCAAAAAGTATGAGGCATTTTTCCTCAGCAGAGGAAAATGGGTCATTTCTGGTCTCTACCAGCCTTTTGTAGGTGGACATCTCTCAGCTGGTACCTCAGGCAGCACTAGCCTGACTCCCCTTCAGCTGCAGTCAGTCAGACCTCAACAAGTGGAGCCACCTCCTTCGAGATGCCTACATCAAAGCACTTTAATCTGTGGGCACTTCCATGGACTGGCCCATTTTAGCTGGGAAAGAGACCTGACAAATTTCTGTCTATTAGATCTCTTACCTTTGAGTCCCACCTTCCCGAAGGTGCTGAGAGGATTTAGCTCAGTGAAGAAGGAGTGAATTTCTGAAATTCTGTAGGTCTCCCCAGCAGCAACATCCTCCAAAAGTCAATTTGATCCTTCAGGTTCAGGTTCACTTTAAAGAGGAACAAGGGTGAAATGAGTGGCTTTTCCACTCATTTTCCTGCGTATTTTCAGTCTTTTTTGTCACTTGGTGGTGCCTGCTGTGATTTCTGTTTTCCCATCTCAAGGGAAGAATAAAGCAGTTATTTCCATTGTGTACTGCCATCCTGAGAACCACTTTGTGGAAGGTGCAGCTGGTCCCCTGGGTGAGGCACAGCCGCCCAGGAGAACATGGGAATAACAAGATCATCTCTTCTGGGTAAATCTCAGTGGACTTACCTCCACAGGCCTTACACAGGACTCCATGAAGAGCCCCTCAAACTGAGTTCTCTGGAAATGGAGTGGGAAACCCAAGGCGAGCAGTGCAGCCCATCTCAGGCCATCACCAAGATGTGCAGGATAAGCCATCCTTTTTGGGGTCCTCTAGCTGTACCACGTCCCCGAGTTCATCTACAAAAATAAGTGATTTTTTAAATCACATTTAGCAAGCCTCCACTCCCCAGGATTTCAGCTTTACCCATTAACACCTACCCTCATTCTACCTACCTACCTACCTTCTAATCGGATGTCAACAGCACAAACTTATCTCTGCTAACATTTGGACAGCCTCTGTAAGCCCCCATGACCCCAAGACCATACAGTTGAGCCCTGAGACCCTCTTGCCATGAGATGCTTTACAAATTCAGCTGAAGGCAGTCCCAAGGACCAGTCTCTGGCTGTGGTTTCACACTTACTAGTCTGTGCTGCTCTGCAGGTTTTGTTAATTGTTCTCTTTTCACTTCCTTGTTAGCGATTTTGAGGCCAACATCCCACATGATGCAGAAAGCACCAATGAAGCTCATCAGCAGGGAGCAGTGCTTGAAAAGTATCCCACAGCTAGCAGAGAACATGCTGTGTGCTGAGATGGAGAAAAGAAGAAGAGGTGCCTGGCAGTCACAGGTAAAGTAAACGGGCTTATGGATGGGCTGCCTAGGCAGGGCACAGAGACACTGGAGGAGAAGAGCCTTTGGTTCAGGATTGAACATTGATCCTTCCCATGGCTTCCTGGGATTGCTAAAGGTTCTCTGCAGGAGGGCAGAGCAGGATGACCAGGGGACAAGGAACTTCCTGTGAAGCTATATTGACCCACAATATTAGTGGATCGCTGTCCTGATGTCAAACAAAGTCTGAAAGCCAAAAAATGCCTTTTCTTTCATAGCATTCAACCTCCAGTGGTAAGGACTGGTCTCTCCTGCAGCCTCTGCTTCAGGACTGAGGTCTCCATTGTTCACTTTGCAAGGGGTTTTCTTAGACATCTGCATGTGTTTGCAGGGGGATAGATGAGCAGATGCATCTATGCACAGCATTGTCCTGTAGTAATCATTTGTTGAGGGAACTAAAACAACATGCAGGACAGAGAGATATCCTCTGCCCTTTAGGCAAAGACAGCAGGTACAGGGACTGTGGACTGCAAAGCCATTGCAAGCTGGGCTTGTAGCTGGGCAGCAGAGGGGAAGTTTCCTTTGCAAAACCATTTTTTGATTAGCCAGAGAGCATCTGCCTCTGAAACCATTCATCCAGTGACTTTCACCTCCATTAAATTCAGTCAAAAATTTTAAAAAGAAAACTGCCACAGGATAACATTAACATGATTAAAGAATGCACTTCCCAGCCCAGCCTTAAGTTCTGAGGCTGAATTATGCCGGTGAAACAGCAAGAGCACTTGTACCCAGCAAAATGAATCTCCTGTATTCAGAAGTCTGATGAGGGTGCTATTTTAATCTACAATAATGTTAGAATTGTTTGATAAATGAACTAGAAACGTGAGCTTTCCAAGCAGTGGAAGTACACAATGATTGCATGTGTGATAATGCTCATAACCCAGCTACTGCCCACTTTTAGTAGAAGTTTGACAAGGCAGAAACGTCTTGTAACCTGAGATAATAAGAGCAAGACAAAGTCACACCCCAGGCTAGAAGTGGAACTCTTGAGGGAAGAAACAGGTGACTTCATCAGAATTCACTAATTTGCTGGAGGGGAAACATTTTGCTCATGGATGGTTTTCTGGGAAGTACTGATTGAAGTCAGGTAGGGCACACTGCAGCCTTGCTAGGCTGGTTCAGAAATCTGGTGGCTCATCCATAGTAGGCTGCTTGGTCATGACACTTGGTCAGGGAACAAGCCCTGGAGATGCCGAGCTTGCTATTGTAGATGTGGTCACAGGAAACCTGGAAGCCATGCACTGTGTAGGACATGAAGTAGATAAAAGTCTTACGTTAACCTTACCTGAGCTTTACTGAGAATCAGGATACTTTTGTTCATGTCCAGAGCCAGGCTAAGATGGGCATCTAGACCCAAGGTGATAAGTCCACATGATCCTTATCTGGATCCAAATGATTACCATTCTAGGTCTTTGCACTGTATGCCATTCATATGCTGGATTTGCAACAAGCTGTTCTATATGAGTAACTAAAGCCACACAGATATCTTCACCCAGGAATCCTTTAGAAGGTTCATCCTACTGACCACTGCCTTAATACCCCCATGTAGCAACAGGACATGCATAGGAAAGCTCAGACATTTTAGTAACTGTCATAATGCTAGTACCAGAGAAAACTAATTTGTGGGTCACTGATGATATTCGTACATTAACTCAAGGAGATTGAATAGTAGAGCTTCGAAGTATTTCTACTTAAAAAAAAAAAAAAAAAATCCATTCACTTAAAAAGAAAAATCTATGGCATACCAATTCCCTAACAGTTCTGCAGACAAATACGTAGATTGACTGTGAATTAACACTAACAGGATCTGTAATTGACTTATAGTTCTGTTTAGTCATAAACATTAGCATTAATGGATGTTCATGGGGTACAAGTGCTAAAGAAGAGACACTAGAGATGGCCTACGTATTATTTTTCACATGCTACATTTCTTCCATGACCCTATGAACTACAATTGATGTCTAATTCCTTGCTTTCTTAAGCATCTTTTGTTAGGCTCTGATGCAATGGTAACTGGAACAATAATTAGAGTATAAGGGATTCAAAGCAAATGCCTCCTTCAGTGTCTTGCCTATCCAGAGAAAATTCAGTAAATGGCCCAATTATATTTCAGAGAGTTCCTGCAAAAGAGGTCTGTGGGGGTAGCTCTGTGATGTGGTGATTAGGACAGTGTGTTCAGCTGGAAGTCACAGTTCACATACAGTTCAGGTCAGCAGCAGATGAAGGGGGGCCCACTCCCTTGCCCGACTTTCAGGGAAAGAAATCATTGTGTGGCCACAAACAAGCAGTGGGATGGTTCCACTCTGCTTCACCATGCCCTACGCTGTCCCCCAGTGTAGGGCTGATCTGTGAGATGGGCTGAAGGTATCTATCCTCTTCCACCGATTGTAGCAGGAAGTGATCTTGGCCATCTCTGATTAATGTCTGAAATGAATCTAGGATGCAACTAGAGCTATGGGTTTTGGTTTCTTTAGTTCCATATAAAGGCAGGAAAGGACCTCTCCACCTGTAGCATGTCCTGCCCACATATACTGTCAGCAGTTTGGAAAGGGCAAATACCTTGTACAGCACTTGGGATGCTCAAGTCTCTCACCCCACATAGCTATAGCAATAGCAGTAGTTGTACAACCCTGGCCACATACAAATATAATTTCTATAGCCATCTGCATCTACCAAATCTCTTCCCATCACTGAGGAAAAAAGAGGAAACCAAGCCAAAAGCCACTTCTAAGTCATAGAGACTGTTTAAATTAGATAAATCCCTGTACAAGTGCTTGTTGCTCCCTGTTAACTAAAAGCAAGACCAAGGCGTTAAGCCTGCAGAAAAACACACGATTCCAAGGCAGGAGAGTTGCCTACATCTAAGTCTCCAGTGTGATTTTAGATATCCCAGGATATCCTCCCGGCATCCCACTGCCCACCTCAAACCATGCCCCAGTGCCAATAACATGACTGCAATTGGGGCTTAACACTTGCTCTGGAAGCACCAGAGAGAGATGATCAGTCTGGAGCTGAACTCATCCCTTGCACTGTCAGTTCATATGTGCATAAGAGTGCTACACCAGTGCAGAAGTGATGAAAGCTCTTGCGTCTTTTTACTGGTGCCAACATGGCTCCAAAACTGCAAAGAAAGACTTGTTAAATAGTTTTTTTGTTCTGAGAAAAAGTGTGCAAATGAAAACTGAGTCCGTATAGGTAAATTATCACAGACGCAAGGAAAACTTTACAAAGCAGGGAAGCATGGTCAATCCCACAGGCTTTCCAAAATACCTGAACAGAGGTGGCTAGAGGATAGTCTGATTACAATCTGTAGGGATGGAGATTATCTGTATGAGGTCTGAAGTTTGTTTGTCAAAGGTCTCCTGGGGACCAGGAGTCAAAACTAACCACATTTCAGTTCAAAGTTATTAGTAGTGATGCAAAATTACTTCATGTTTGTATCTTACCTTAATGTTGAAGAGAATGAGCTACTCTCCACCTTTCTGGTAGATTCTCCATATCTGAACTATAGTTCTAACATGATGAGGTGTGGGTTTGTTTTTTTTCTCCCTAAGAGACAGATTGCTTTAGGTAGGAAGGTTTCTTGGGAAGCCCCAGAGCAAAGCAGTAGACATGTTTCTGCATTTACAGTCTCTTAAATTTGCTTCTGAAAGGTGCTTTGATGTGCACCTCATAAGAATCAGAGCACTTTTGCTGTGTCCCATGGGTTTATAGGGCTTTCATCATTTTATCATTTTATGATATCGGCAGACAAGTGAACACATTCAAGCTGTGGTGGCTGAATTCTGTAATCTGTCAAAAACCTTCCTGTTGCAAGGATCTGGAAAGTTGATGATGTCCCATGTCTCTTCTGCTTTCTTCCTCTGGGTTTTTTTGGTCCCTCAAACTGAAGCTGTTCTTTTTGCAGCAAGAGGGTCCAGCATTGCTTTGTGTGCCTGGTGGGTGAAGCTGTGGGGAGCAGAACATCTCTGGATCCAGCTGAACACAAAAATCCACTGTGCGCTTGCCCTCAGATTGGGGGAATGGGTGTGATGACTCAGAGGAGCCACTTCTCATTCAGTGAGTCAACACAGCTTTAAGGGAAAGTCATGACTCACAGGCAGATTTAAATTCTTTGAAGAAGTCGACAAGCATGTGGCAGAGGGTGATCCAGCTGATGTAATGTGCTGAGATTTCCAAAACTCTTTTAGCGAGACTTCTCACCAAAGGCTTATGGAGAAAGTCATCTGTCATGAAGCAGAAGTGCTTTAGTTTGAAAGGGAGGCAACACAGAGGAAGGATTTGACAAGAAATAGGGCTTACAGGGGGAGTTGTATTGGCATCCATGCAAGGAATTGTGATGTGCAAGGAGGGTCAATGCTGAGATGACCAAGTCGACCAACATCACGGCAATGTTCAGGGTGGCCACAATTAAAACTGACTATGCAGAGGTGCAGCAGGATCTCATCATTGAGAGTGACTGGAGCTTTAAACAGCAGATGCAGTTCACTGTTGATAAAGGAAAAATAATGAATATAGGGAGAAGCAACTCCAGCAGTACACATGCAATGATAGGCTCTAATTTAGATATTACCTTGTAAGATCTTGGAGTAACTGTGGATAGTCCTTCAAAAACATCAGCATGAGGCTCTGTGAAGGTCAAAAAGGCAATGAGAGCATTACAATTTATTAGGAAAGCAAATGCATGTTATGCTGGGACACTAATCTTGGGAGCCTATGTCTTATGTACTGTGATTTCCATCCACCCTGTCAGAGAAAGAAGTAGTTTTAGAAGAGGAGAAGAGTAGAGTAGGAAGGATGAACAGGGACATGGAATGGCTTCTGGTGGAAAGGAGAATAACAGAGCAGGACTCCAAGGCTTTTAAAAGACATGTTCTGGTGTCCTCAACATAAAAAGGACATGGAGCTGTTGGAGCAAGTCCAGAGGAGGCCACGAGGATGATAAGAGGACTGGAGCACCTCCCGTATGAAGACACGCTGAGAAAGTTGGGGCTGTTCAGCCTGGAAAAGAGAAGGCTGCGTGGAGACCTCATAGCAGCCTTCCAGTATCTGAAGGGGGCCTACAAGGGTGCTGGGGAGGGACTCTTCATTAGGGACTGTAGTGGTAGGACAAGGGGTAATGGGTTTAAACTTAAACAGGGGAACTTTAGGTTAGATATAAGGAAGAAGTTCTTCACACTGAGGGTGGTGAGGCACTGGAATAGGTTGCCCAAGGATGTTGTGAATGCTCCAACCCTGGAGGCATTTAAGGCCAGGCTGGACAGAGCCTTGGGCGACATGTTTTAGTCTGTGGTGTCCCTGTTCATGGCAGGGGGTTGGAACTAGATGATCTTAAGGTCCTTTCCAACCCTAACTATTCTATGATTCTATGATTCTATGTCTGATGGGGATGTGACACAGATTTCTAAAGTCATGAGCAGCAAGGAGAAGACAGTCAAAAGCTGTCCTCTTGTTCCTGCTATTGAAAACACATGAAGGAGGGAGTGTCAGTTGGTTGTATCAGCCAGTAGATTTAAAACAAAGAGAAGGAAGTGTATTTTCATCCAACAGATAATTAAACTATGGAAGTCACTGACCAGGATGTTATGGGTATTTATCCTAAGGGATAAATGGATTCCAAAAGCAATTGGATAACTTCCTGGATGGAGATATCTCTAAGACTATTAACTGTGATGTAAATACAACTCTGTAAATACTTGCCCTGTTTCTCATTCTCCTTCTCTGAGCACTTGCTACAGATGACTGTCAGAGACAGGAGTCTGGGCCACATGGGTTTTGGGCCAGATGCATTATAACTGCCTGTAAGTCTGTGCCACTAATGGACTCTGCTGACATCAGTGTGGATGGAGTTGGGCAGTCTTGTTCTCCCATTTTCCAGCAAGGGGATGGAGGGACAAGAGTAGATGAAAATCACTGAGATCACAAGGGGGTCCCATGAAAGGAGTCCAAGTGCTTCGTGTTACCTGATTCACTTTTGATACCTGCACACTAAAAATAGCCATAGCCTCCTTCCTCGTGCCTTTCTCTAAAGATTGTTCATGGCGAAATAACTGAAAAAATCATGTTTGCAAAAGCCTTTACTTCCTGCAGCCAGGACAGCTCTAATGGCGAGTGTTGTTATTCACATGCTGATTCTCTCCAATTTACACAGAGCTTACCAACATGAAAATGAAACCAGCAATGAGTGCAAGGATTGTGTATCCACCTAATGAGTATCAGATGGGTTGTTCTCCCTCTCCCAGAGCTTCTCCCACCTGAGATTTATGTGGCTGAATGTGTTTGTTCTGATCAATTACCATGTTGCAGACATGGATACAAATAAAAAAAGGAAAGACATTACACTCTTGATCCAAAGCCCACTAAATTCAGCAGAAATGCTCCTGATGTTCACAAAAAGGTTTTGGCCACATTGAAAAGGATGAAACTTTTTATCAGCTTCAACGAACAAAGCACCTAAGCACCTTGTTAGTGACAGATTTTATATAGCTCTGAACTGTTTACCGGTGAATATATCATTGCCCTCACCTCTCCTAATGGGAGGATTAACATGCAGTTGTGGAATGCATGAATTCAGCACCAGATTCAGTTCGATGTGGTTTCTTTTCACTCTTTTTCTAGTTGACAAGAATCATGAAACAGAAGCAAAGGTGCTATTTTTAGGATTTTTTTTCTGTCCAGAAACTTGGACTGAGACTGAAGATCAGAAGCAGGTGTCTGGTTGTGTGTTGTTGACCAGAAGTATTTCACCACTAGGATGCAGGAGGCTGAAAGAAGCGCTTAATAAGTTCTTCAATCTTCAGTTGTTAATCTGAGAATTCATTAAATTAGTGCTACTGGAAACATCATCACAGAGCTTAGATAATTGCACCAGCACTCAAAACTCGCTCCACCCACCACCTCTCCTACACAAGGATGGAAAAACCTTGGACCAAGTATGCTTAAGTTGGATACAGGGATATTGAGAAATGTCCAAGAACTGAGTTTATTTTCTCTATCTTTAGCCCTATAAAACCCAGGCTACTGATTCATCTGGGCTTCTGCCATAATTCTGTGAGTGAGATTATCACATGGAGAGTGTGATTTAGCCCACTTTGTGATAAAATCATTGAGTTAAATAGCTGAAGAGAAATGTCATGTTAGAAGTTGCACCCATTGAAGCAGAACAGCTCAGCCCGTGTGGAAAGGGGTTTGAAGCAGGATTTGGGTCTCAGGTTTGTGGATTAGAGAAATGGATTTGCAGCTGCTGCCCGGGTTTTTGCAGCATTGCCTATTTCTCTCTGCCCGGGTTTTAAATCTCTGCACAGTGGACATTCCACCAAGCCCTGCATACAGCTATCCCTTTCCCCACTCACTGGGCAGAGAACAAAATAATCATGGGTAAAAAGGCAAACAGGGAAAAGCAGATCTGATTTGAAAGCAAAACTGCATTATGTATAGTTTAAATAGGGATTCCTGTCTCTGTCATTGCCTCGTGCAAATCTCATCCTTCTTCTGCTGTGTTTTTTCCAGTTATGAAAAAAGATAAGACTTTTTCCCCCCAAGGATAGTCACAAGATATCAGGGATTAACTGGTATTTAAGCACCCTGGGAGAAAGATACTTTGCAAGTGTGAACAGCCTCCAAATTGGACACTGAAACCAAACTTCCCTGATGGTGTGCGGGGGCTCTACCAGTGCTAAAAGTCTCCTACACTGGGAAAAGCTGGCATGACGCATCCCGGCATATCACCAATGAGGGATTGTCAGCCGTTACTGCGTCACTGGCTTGCGAACGGCTCCCACTCTCTCAACTTCATTTATTATCTTAGTGTAGGAGGCTTGAAGCGCCTTCCTTTTGCTACCAGGATAATGCGTTTGGCCTGTTCCTGCCCTGAGGGGATTAGCAGTAAAATTCCCAGTAATTTAATTGTATGTACAGCCTAGGAGATGTTCATTCATTCAAACAGGATGCCATCACCAAGGACACTGATAACACATGGGTCCAAGGTCACTGCAAGGTCACCTGTGTGATTTGTACAAATTCTTGGCTGAAACAGTGTTGGGAAATGTCTTGAGATCCTGAGTCTGAGGAAGGTCCAGCACCACTGGCTGAGACGCAGACACGTAGCTACAATAACACAACCTCAGTGCAAACAACATGGAATTTACAGTTGGACTCTGTGATCTTAAAGGTCTTTTCAAACCTAAATGATCCTGTGATTCTATGATTCTGTGAATGCTGAAGCAACATTTGCTCTGTATTTTTCTTAATTTTTGCCTCCTGCATGCATGTTGAGCCATATTCATATATATGAATGACCTGGGCCTTCCATCTAGTGAACTGAATAGGAAGTCAGCCATAAACTTTAGCAGGTGCTGATGTGTTGCACAGGGGACTACAGCCAATTCCGTGTTCATTAATTAACGTGTGTTAGCTCAGGGGAGCTGCTGGTGGAAGGGGGTTCATACATTAATGACAAAGACATTTCTCAAAGTAGTGTGAAGAGGGAAGACTAATATTTCCCAGCAAAGAGGAAAGCTGGCTGTTTCAGGAAATAGGGTTGCATTAAATTTATGTGCTACATGCAGTGGCAAACCCATCATGAAAGGAAACTTATTTAGAGCAGGGACTGCACAGCACTTAAGAAGTATGTAACTGTGGGAAAAGGGCTGCATTTGGCTGGGTGGGTTTTGTGCTGGTTTCTCTTCTGCTACTGGTTGTGTTCAGAGACAGCACACAGAGGTCATATAGGCAACTAGATGTGCTCTTGGTGTTCAGGCTACAGCACCCAAGAGGAGGACATTCTGGCTGCAACGTTCATTTGAAAGCTTGAACACACTGCGTGAGTGACGGTTGCTCTTGCAGTAGTAGGCAGGCTTTCAGTAAAATTACTGTGGTTGCCAGAAGGATTTGTCAGGATTAGTGTTCATCTCTTGTCCAATTTCTGGATGCTAGCCCACAGGATTAACGGTGGCAGGTACCCAACACCTACATGATCCAGTTTTGCAGAGAAGTCACGGACTGAATGAGCAGTCACAGCAATGTCCCTTTTCACTCCTGGATGTTGTCTCTTAGTGACAGGATTCAGGTATCATGCTGGAGCCATGGGAGCATGTGGAAGAATCTGAGAAGGGCAGGGCATTGCGCTGAGTCAGAGCTTGTGACTGATCTCCTCCTATTACCTTCTGTATCTGTTTGTTCTGCAGAGACATCAGGTCTGAGCTGTAAAATTTTGAGTCCAAAATTTCCTTGTCCCTGAAATCCTCATTAACTTGGGATAGAGTCTGGTTTTCCCCATCAGCCTGGGGGATTCAGCTGCTATGAGAGATGTGAGGTTATACCTTGCTCTAACATCCTCCTTATGCTGTAGGTGGACAGCGGGGGACCTCTGGTTTGCAGCTACTGGAATACCATGAAGTGGTTTCAGGTTGGCATCGTCAGCTGGGAACAAGATTATGCAGAAAAGCCAGCCCATGAGGTCTTATTGTCTGTTTACAGCTACCGTCGCTGGATAGAGACTGAGACAGCCATAAGGGGGAAACCTTTCTTCATTGAAGGCATGGATAACCATGCTAATAGTTGGCTGTTTTCTTCCAAGGCTCAGTCACAGCTGGTATTCCTTGAGCATTGTCTCCTTTTATTTATCCCTTTAATAGCAATTAGATTACTCTAGAGAAATTTTATTCAAAACATAATAAAAGTCAGAACTACTGTCTTAGCCTTCTTTTGCCCATATAGTCGTGTCTCAGGTTAACCTGCTCCATCACGTGGATACGGACAACCAAAAGAGATGCAACCATGAGGCAGAAAAGTAAGGCAGAGGCCAATGAAGATCAAGACTCAAACAAGAGAGGCCATAATCCTCTGAAAAACATGTATTTTCCACACTGGTAGGTCATATCAGGCCCAGGTTTTTGCTAAGTTCAGATGAAAAGTCGAATTGTGGCATCTGAAGGAGCTGCTCCCCTTGGAAAGCTCAAACCCTAAGAAAGGTCTTAGCTTTCTCAGTTGCTTATTACCTGTTGGTAGTATAGCTCTGGTTTAACGTATCTTAATGCTAATTATTAGCTGGACTAATGTATCTTCTATCTTACAGGTAGCCCAAGCTAAGAGCATCTTCAGAGACCACAGTAGCTTCTTAGATGGCATGTCAAGCTGCTGGGACTTGACTACATGTCAAATTCAGTGTCTCCTTAAGATAGAAAAAGTGCAAGAAATCTTCTGGCCAGTGTTGGAAGGTGTAGCATCATAACTAATCAGTCCTATTTACCTGGATTGCGAATGCTGGGTTTTGGTAGTTAAAGGCAACAAAGAAAAAAATTGTCTGGCTGAAGAGAACTGTTTCTGAGATATCCACAAAATACAGTCTACAGAAACCCCTCTACTTTGTAATCAGTCAAAATTAATCCCTTGCAAGTAAATGGTAAATCAAAAGGAAAGAGTTTTGTTGGTTTTTTTTTTTAAATAATTATTCTGTTAGAAGCCTTTTACATAGTTGCTAAGAGGTCCACATTCAGCCTGAGCTGGAATTGAGCTGGTCCTTCATTCAATGCATGGTTCTTCATTGCTTCGCCAGCAGCAAAGTGCATTACAAAATGTGTTCTGGTCTTCACAAGGCATTTGCTTTTCTTGGAAGTGATGGTGAAGGAGGCAAGCAAGAAGGTCGTCTTCATGTCCCACCTTTGAAGCAGCATAAAAGCACCTGTAATTTGCAGCAATGATAAAACTCAGTGAATGTGCAATGGGACAGAACCTCACAAATTAGTTTTAATTACCTTGATATTTTCTGGCTACTGGTGTAGAAGCCTTGTAAATGAGAATTAATTCATCTACCTTAAGCTAATGCAAACCCATCTTGGCATAAAAGTCAGACTTTATTTTCTGTGTTATCTGAGCAGAAAATAATGCTTAATTATTATTAGTTCAGAGTAATGCTTATGAAAATTGCTCCACATTAATTTCACATGGCTGACTGGCTAATGGATGCATAAGGGTCTTGTAACCCTTTGCAAAAAGACTAATAAAAGCTAAAAACAAGGGGAATATATTACTTTAGCAGCTATTAGTAGTAGACAGTGTCTGCTGGCATTAATACCTATATTTATTTTCCTTTCTATTAATAATATATCAACAGATTCTAGAAGCTGTGGCAGGGGCTGGACATCAGGAAATATTTCGTAATGCTGCAATCTATTCAGCTTCAGAATTGTTTCCCCCAAAGGAAATGAGATGTCCTCCTGCTTGAATTATTTTAATGTGGGGATTGTATAAAGCACTTTCATCTGCAGCACATGGCATGGAAAAAGCCTGCGCTTACAGGGAAATGCAAGAGGACCCAGTAGATATTTTCCATCTGTAGCATTTGCAAACTGATAATGGTCTATGTTAAACGAAGGTGATGCTACTTAGTGGGTATAGCAAGGCACCACTGCTATGGGTTTTGACTTGTCCTGCTGCTCATTTACTCAGCGGCTTTAGGAAAAGAAAGTTTGTGCTTCATGCCTCAGTTTCCATACGTGTAAACTGAGATAATTGAGGTGCCCAACCCTGGCAGTGTTCAAGGCCAGGCTGGACGATGCTTGGAGCAACCTGCTCTAGTGGAAGGTGTCCCCGCCCATGGCAGGGGGTTGGAGCTGGATGAGCTTTACGGTGCCTTCCAACCCAAACCATTCTGTGATTCTTTTCCGTAATTCTATAATGAAAGTGGTTGTCTTTGCTATATGGAAGCATCAGTTATGCAAATTAAGACCAGCTATATCGCTGTAAAGTAATAAATAGGAAAGAGGATTTTTTCCTCCTTATTTAAAACATCGTAAAATTTATGAAAGTGAATTCATCTTTGCTACTACATGCACTGTTCAGTAATTAGGGGAAGAAATAAAATGTTTGCTTAATATTTCTATGCTGTAAGTAGGTCTGATGTTGGTGCTGTATTTTGTTTCAAAGGTATTTGTGTTTTGAGAGAGCACATCACTTTTGATTATGGATTTGACAGGAATCAGAATGCAATGTATCAACTTTTCATTAACATTTAAATGTGAACCATTAATTTCTTAAGTTTTGCCACTTTGATGTACTACATTTCTTATATTATTGTAGTCCATATTTGTGGGGTTAGATTATCTAAGTGAACAGTTTCCAAACTGAACAACTTCAATTTTTTTGCTTCATGCTATAGTTTGGGATGTTCACATTTTGTCTTCATCTGCAGCTCATTTCTTATTGCTCCTTCGTCTTTACAGGTACCACTTCCTCATGTCCAGTCAGCCCAATGGAGGGCATCAAGCAGTCTGGGCAAAAGAAACATGTCTCTTTGAATACACTTTGCTCAATGAGCAAAGTTGGTCAACGTAAAGACTGCTGCATGGAGCAAAGTGATGCAAAGCAGTGCGCCAAAATACAGATTTTGTTCTCAGCACTACACCTTTAGCTGCAAATACCAGAAGAGAAGCAGGATATGGAAAAGCTTAGAGACCTAGGGAAACATCCATAAGACAATCCATGGAAAAAGCATAGGAGGATATGGGTACTCAAGGGAACAGAAGAGAGGTAGTCAGGCCTTGCTTGTACATTTTGCGAAGAACAAAAGCACCTCCCATGAGCACTGAAGAGAGCAAAATAATTTTGACTTAGTTCTGCAGAAATTAAGGTCTGTATGTATACATATATACGCATTTGTGTTTCCCTGCCTGCCCCATCACAGCTGGCCATTTGCACACAAGCATGAGTAGAGACATGGAAGGTTTGAAGATGATGGTGTTTGTTCAAGTGTGGCAGTGAGAGCTGGTTGCAGTTGAGAAGTGGGGAGGGCTCTAAGTAAATAGGACAGTTGTGTGGCTTCACCTCAGAAAAGGAGGGTTGGCACCAGTCCAAGGTCACAGGTATCTGCCATTGCAGAAATCCAACCTTTATTCCAGGTGATGACCCCAGACCTCTCCCCCAGCTCTTCCGTGGTAGATGTCTCATGGGTCTGAAGACAAAGCAGTTCCCAGTACTATTCTTTTAAAGGAATTGAGATTTCCCATTTTCTCTTTTTCCAGCCTGTACTTCCACGTGGGGGTAAGACACAATTAAAAGAATAGGCTTGTCTTCTCCTGATCCTCTCTGTCCCTTTAAGGAGAAAGCAGAGGGCACACATGGCTGTGACCATGACTGCTGTCATCCATTTGTCATTTCATATGCACATGGAGTGTTCTGATTTTGTGTATGTGTCTTTAGATGTCTGACTTCAATGCAAGATGTCAATGGGCTTATTTCTCTCTCATATTTTTGTGTGCCTGCCAGATGAAGAGTGAAGAATCACCTGTGGATAGGGTAAAAATCATTGGTCAACTCTTTAATTGTGTCTTTTGTTGATAGCAAAGTAGATTAGAGCTGGAAACTGAAGGCTGCAGAGGATCAGCACCTGTTGCCACATTTCTGAGTGACTTCCCAAGTGGCATTATGGACAAACCATTTTTCATGATAGGGACTCAGTTTTTCCTTCTGTAAAAATGAGAATAATTAAAAGCCAGGGACCTCTCTTGGGATGCACCAATTGTGATAGTGATTAATCACTGTTGTTAACTAAAGTGAAGATACTACTGGCAGTGTTAATCTGTTTGATTTGTGCTGAACACTTCTGGTGTTAGGCTGAAGACATGTTTTACGTAGGCGGATTGTGATCTGGAGAAGATACTGGCTTTGGGGTGAATACAGGATGGAGGCTGTCAGCCGTTGACATGCCTAACCAAGCTGCTGACATGCCCTAAATGCACTCCAGCAATACAGCCATGCCTTTCCTAGCCATTTAGAAACCCTTAGGTGTGATGGATCTGTGATGAAGTGAGAAGTGCCCATCCTTTCCATAGTGGCTGTGCTTGCTGACCTTGAAGAAACACCCATTCTTCTTGGAGGATTTTACTCAGTTGCCATTTTGACTCTTTGCTAGTGAAATCACTCTGGTTTTAGCTTCTCTGGCAGTCCTGTGCAGTCCACACTGCTGATCATGGATGGCTTCTCTAAGACATGCTTGAACCACCCACATACTTAAAAAGCATCAGCTTGGCCGCCTCTTTATTATTCTGACATTGTGTGCACTACTCCTGGTGGTTATTAGGGCTTGCAAAATGAACTAGCTGACTGCAACTGAGCTTATAACATCCTGCAGCATCACAAAACATCCTCTTAGTGGGTATTTCCAAGTGTCTGTGTTCAATGTACCTGCCACCCAAGTCCTTTTCTGAGAGGTGTCTTGGGTTTGCTAACATTTCTTGTATTCATAACTGGTTGCTTTCTCCTTATCTCATGGTTACTCACTGCTTCAAGGGCTCTTTAATATGCAAGTCACTTTGTTCCCACAGCCCAGACCACTAAATGATCTCCTCTGCTGGGAAGAGTGGGTTTCAAGACACCCCTGAAAAGTAAAAGTTCCTCTTCCTCTAGGCATTTGAATTTATATGTCTTCACACTAACTCTGCAGACATTAATCACAACATAAGCAACACCAGAACTAACTCGTGTGCCTTCACATTAGGGAAATGGTGGTGGGAAGGATGATAGGCGCTAAAGGCAGGCATAAGAGTATAAATTCAGCTCTGCAGTAACCCTGTGAGATCCTAGAGGAGCTCCGTAGGTTTGTTTAGGAAGAGTAACTCTTGAAGATTGAAATGATCAGTTATGATCAAGCTGGAA